ATATATATATATATATATATACACATATATATATACTAAATTTTTGGTTATTACGGACAATAAATATTAAAATACACATAATAGTAACTCTAGTGGAAATAAGTCGTTGAAATTCACTGAAAATCGCTGAAATTTCTAGCAATTAATTCATTTCATTATGAATTATATGAAATTGGTCTATTGATAAAGATTTCATCGATTTATATCCACCAGGAAACATTAACGTTTAAAAACAATATAAAATTTATTATCTGTTTAATCTAAATTCTTATAAAAATGAGTACGTTAAAAGAACAATATTATCTAAAATAAAGAATTAGTAAAACTATAGATAAGTTTAATATAGAGAAAAGCTTATTCTATATACGAACTAATACTAATAGTAGAGAGTTTGAATATTTATTTCATATTTAGTATTAAATTATCAGCTAATGTAATTTTAAAATCTAATAACTTAGCATTATAACAAGAAGTAATGAAAAAATAACGAATCATAAGAACCGGTAACGGTAATGCATTACTTTTTAAAATTGATAACGAGTAATGGTAACGAGTTATTCTTTTCAAAAATATAAAGTAAGGCGTTACTTATTTAAGATAACGCCCACAACCCTGGTTAAAATATACAAAAATACAATTTGAGTGATTCTGAATCAAATCTTTGCCAATGTACATTCGCATTGTTTAAATCAAATTTTAAAAATGTAGCTGCAGTTAATAAAATTATTAAAAATTATATTAAAAATTATTACACATAAGTTAATTAGGCGCATATCTCATTTAATCACTTGATTAATCCTCACTGCAAAACGTTCATTCACAACATCCATTCTATTAGTAAGCTTGTTTCTTTTGGCTATCTCGTAAGATGGCATGTTCCCAGCAGGAGCTCTCTACGCACACTACTACCGCCGATCTCGGTCGCGGAGACCGCGTTCGTCAGCAGCAATCAGGGGGCGGTTGTACCCACGCCAGGGAACGGAGACCGACCGGAGCTCAGCGAGGCCGAGTGCGACATCGATTCTCTGAAGAAGCTGAAATTGGGACTGCGAAGCTCTTTGTGGTCGCGACCAAGCACTCAGAATAATCCCTCCTCGGATTACTCCATCGCCGTCTAATCTGTCCCCAAATGTCACAATCCCTACGGTAGCATCCCTTTTTCTCTTAATCCTATGGGCCAAAGATTAGATAAATTGATCTCTTCCCTTCGTGTCTCGTCAAGAATTTCCTCGTGGCCATTCGTAGAGCCAATCGACTGCCACGTCTTCTGTCGACGATAGATAAATTATGTTCTGCTCGTTAATGATGATAGAGGGAGAGGCGTACATAAATAAGATCGGAAAGGATCGAGACAACGAAGATGAACGATTATAGAGGAACACATGTGTGTGCACATAAAATCAGGTAGAAGATGATTTCTTGCCAGAAATGAAAAATCTTAAATCCCTGAAATACTTAAATTACATTATTGTTTTACAATATAAAAATAAGTTTTTGCATTGAGATATTAGCTTTTGCAATATTTAATCAATGATAGCTATATGATGACAGAACGCGATACTATAAGACCTATTTCTTCTATAAACGTGTGTCTTCGTTGATCGAGCCGAGAGAACTAGTCGAAAGTATCTATAAGTGCTTCTCCTCTTCCTTGTCTATGACGCGACGCGAGATAATACACATGCGTGGAATGCGTGAAGTGCGTGAGTGAGTCCAAGTCCGAATGCGTGGATGATCGTCGAATCGCGTGTACGAATGCGTGCCAAAACGACAATTTGCTCAGACCGCTGCGAGTCGTTTCGCCGGCGGGCGATCCATTCGAGACCAAAGACTTAATCGTATATACGAACAGAGCATGGAAGAGTACTTCGCGTATCATAAACAAGACAGGTGGCAGGCTGCATCTTCCATCTCGAGAAATTTTTTTTTATTTATGTCAGTTTTTCTTCGTCTTATTTAATCTTTTTAATAATTTCTATTATTACAAAACGGATTATCGGAAAATTATAACAATTATTACAAAATTTTATATATATATATATTATATTAAGGTAAATATATTTCACTTGCAATTGTGAGACTAAGATTTATTTATATTTATGGAAAGATATTTATTGATACGTTATTGATTATTTGTTTATCATTTTATTTCTTATTATATAGATACTAATTTACTCCGTTATTGATATTATTATAATTCCATTTATTTTTATAATTTTTCTAATGTCTAAATTTTGTTTATATTATTAACATTTAATAAGTTTTCCTTTTTGTTTCTCATAATAAATAAACAAAGCAGTTCGAAATTGTCGCTATTCTGGAAATCATGCTCATCTTATATTCGGTGCGCGCATGTTATTAAAAATTGGGATGAGAACGAATAGGAAAGGAGAAGAGACCGGACTTCTTCCAAGTCTCCAAAAAGCGGATCGTTGACGGTTCGGCTCTGTTGCATTGTAAAGTTTATATACGTACGAATATATATATATATATAAAATAGTATCGTTGATTACTTTAAGTCCGTTATTAAACCTAAGACTTCTATGTAGAACGTTTTCCTGTACGCGGAGTGCGTTACAATCGGAAGAATCGAGTACGAAGCTACGAATCTAATCGTAGCACAATCTCATTTTTCTGCTCTGTATAAATTTCGGCCAAGGCATTTGAAGGAGAACCGCGGCTCTCTCCTTCAGATCTCTCTTCTAATGTCGTGCACCTTCGAGACTTTGTGATCCGACGCGACCAATCTTACTATTATGCAATAAGTCGTACCAACGGAACGACTTTTCTTTTCAGACTGAACTCGAAAGTACTATGAAAAATTGCCATTAGAATTAATTAATTACGCGTGCATCATATCGCGTCGCGAGCTTCCAATATTTCCACGACACTGCCATTCCGCAGACTACTTACCGCGATCTTAAAGGATCTAATTGAGATCACTTTATGTACTCCGGAATGAAAAAAAAGAAACATGTTTTTGTAACTTTTACCAAGACGTGGTAATGTTTTTGATATAAAAAAAACCTGACCCATTTTCTCTCGCCGACAAACGTCACTTCTAATAGTTAAGTATATTATACAATATTGTATATTCGGATATCTGTGATGGCGTACGTACTTCTACTTTCTAGTTTATTTCAGCGCGAAGGAAGCTGCTCCGAATTTACATTATCGATAATAATTTTAATCTTGTGGAAAAAAAGAAGTAGGAATCCTAATAGCACACTTTATCCGAAATATATCTTGAGGATATTCTTAGAATGTTCAAAAAACATACAAACATCCTCAAGACATTTTTTGGAGGTCTGTGCTGTTAGAGAAGAAATTAAGTTATAAGAAATTCTAGTTATGCCATAATATTAAGGAATGTTTAGAATTTTGGGTTTTATTACGAGATAATGTCAATAAGTTAAGAAAAGCTGTGCGCGACACTACGAAGATGAGGCCGTAGATAATACATATGTAGAATACAATATGTTTGAGTACACGGGCATCAAGACGCGTGCATACAAGCATGTACGACGCGTTTGTTAATGTATATAAGGGAAGCACGTCAATCAAACTCGTAGTGTTCGATTAAATTCGATAGAGCAATCTTCGAAGAGGATGAAGTGCGATTCACCGTTTGGTGTGATTGCCGGGACATTTTCATCGATACGATTTTTGTACATTTTTCTTGCGTCATGGACCGGCCGAGTTCTGTCAATATATCTTGTGTAACCTTTCAGAGGGACCAGTTAATTCTCTTCGTTGTCATAATTGTGTGAGAAGCTAATATAAAGTATTTAATGATTAATCAACAATCTCGAACAAATCTGATCAACGAATTTTTTACTATACAATTTTTCACGAAGCTAATTTGGAATAAAATACGATTTCGTCATTTATTCAATTAAAACTTGTTATTTTAAAATCTCGTCGATAAGTTACTAGTAAAGTACTTTTGGATTGATTTATCGGATTTTTATACATTGCATCGCGACTAATTACACGGTCCTCGAAGGATGATGCAGTGACACAACTCGGTGCATCCCCCGTCATCATTTGCGATAATCCGTGCAGTTCGGAGAATATACTTTAATTGTTGCATCTATATGGATGGCGGAAGCGAGCGAACAAATCAAATGCACAATTGTTATTGTAACAATTGTAGGGAGAGAAAGCGCTTACCGGCGCGAATGTGGCGTGGACGGTCCAATCGTGGCGCGAGATTGCGCAAAAAGAGTTATCGTAAGAGCTCCATAAAGTGAAGAAGCTCGAAAATTCTTTCTCCGTTCTGCGATCAGAGATTGTATGATTAAAACGAATTGTCGATTAAATTTAAATAAACTGTATTAAATCTGTGGTACGACATTTCGATGCATTGTGTCGATCATAGAATCGATTAAATAAATTGATATCGTGTAAAATGAACATAGGATCGATTTTCTGGGCGAACCTCATAAAATAATTGATAAACGTGAAAATTTATATTTATGTTTCAATACGAATTTCCTGATTAACGGATCAATATAATCGAACGATTCGTTTAATATCCCGTAAGCTCCGAAAACGTGGAGTCCAAATCATCGCAGATGTATTTGTATTTTTCCTTTTCTTTTAGTAGATAATCTAAAACGTAAACAATTTATTAATAACAATTGATATCATTTTAACAAGTTTGGAAATTTAAAATCTATAAAAAATGCATAATACGATTAGTACCTTCCCTCTTGTCCATTTCTTTCGTGAATATCTTGACAGTTTTCTCAGCGATAATGGCACGCTTTTCAGCAGCTTTCAATTTTACTTTTAATTCTTTTAACTGCGCTTTGAATTCTTCCACCCTTTGGTTAGCCTGCAACAAACAATCTCTTTATGCAGTCTTAATTTTTTAAATATGAAAAATATAAATTATTAGTATGAAAGAATGTCTACTTTCTCTTCAGACACTTCCAAGGACTTGAATATATTGCCAACGATGAATAACTCATCCTCCCTCTCGAGAATTTTCCTATAAAATATAACGTCAAATATGTTAAAGTCTTTTAAGCTTAAGTAACTTAAATAAAAAAAACAATATTAAGTAAAAACTTTTTACAATAAATTTTTTACAGTAATTTTTAAGGATGCTCATTAGCTTTCATTGTTAACTTATTGTCAATTTAACTTATGAGATTACGTAATCCAGCTTTAATTTAAGAAGTGAGATCAACAAATAATATCAGTGCACAATTTGCTTGAACTAGAAATTATAAAATTCACACAAAAATATTATTCAACAAAGTTCTCTTTAACCAAATGTAGCCTTCTTTACTTATTTTTTAGATTAAAAGAAATTTCTCCATGCACACGACTTAATAATATGTAGAAAAGAAAAAATATGTAGAAATTTTTTATGTAAAAGTAAAACATCTTGGAAAGTAGAATATGTTGTAAAACATTCCCGTTTAAATTGAAAATAGAGAAGTAAGAAAGGATTCAACAGAAAAGAGTAATCGCTATATTTAGAGAGTCTCGTACGCCTCGCTCGATTTAACTCTTTCTTCCGCCACTTCCAGCTCGTCTTCAACAAATGCCAATTTTCTCGAAATCTCATCCGATTTCGTGTCAGCATCTTCAGCAATAATTCTCGCTTCCTTCAGCTGCGCCATCAATTGATCCATCCTCTCTTCATCCTGTTTACTCCTATTCTCTAGGACTTTGCAGATGCTGAGTATAAAGAATAATTTTATGATTATGATAGCTTATCATATATTTCTTATAAAAAAATCGATAATAATATTCATAAAAACTTAATCTCTACAGCGATTTTTATAATATTTATTAATATAAAATATTTTTTATATACCAGTAAAAAAAGCATTTCGTAGCAAAAAATTTACAGAGTAAATTTTATATATAGAAATATACCGCTTTGCGTCTTCAGCAGTTTCTATGACTTGCGCGAGCTTTACTTGAGCCGACAAACGTCGCTCCTCTGACTTTTCTAAATTCTGCATGCATTGCTGCATTTTTCTATTAAGTACCGCCAGTTCTGACTGCGTCTGCAATTTTACAATTGACGTAAAGACAAATTAAATTTGGATGCCCGTGATATATTTCTTCCAATTCACTAACCACTATATAGACTCTCTCCTTTATCTCAAGATTCCTGTTTGACTTTATAAGTTGGGCCTTACTCACTTCCAAATCATGCTCCATTTGCACTAACTTTTTGGCCAATTCACGAACTTCATCCCTCAATTTTTCTTCCCTTCGATTTGCCTCTTTTGCCTGCTGATCGCATAGATCAGCTTTGTCTATCGCGAGATCTTTCTCAAGTTTTAGCATTTGCAGCCGTTTTTTAATGGCATTCATGTTTTCGTTGTAAATTAATTAGAAATATTCTTTTTAATCAATGACGTTAATAGAAATTTTAATAGATAAATTGCTTTCAAGCGAATTATTTTAATAACTGTATTAAGTCGCAAGAATTAGATTTTTATTATACTTAATTGACTTTATTGTGTGGTAAAGATTTTTATAATTTTTATATTTATAATTTTTTATATTTTCAATTTACGATAATTATTTTTATGTTTTATATTCTTTAATTGCAATCAAGAAGTTTTTTCAAAAAACTGGTTCCGTGCGAAACATTTTCACTTTGAAGTATCTTTTTTGTTGCGCACAAAAATGATAATTTTTACACTCTGTTAACAGAATTTTTAATTACTAAAGAAATGAAGAATCAAAATGCAATGCCCGTGAGTTACTGTATTGAATGACCGATGGGGACAATGTTTTATAGGCTTAATGCAATGCAAAAGGGCAAAAACAACAGTCGCTTTAGTTAGGCTCAAACGAATTCTTGGACTTCTTAAAACAGTGGTGCCCATGATCGTGGCTGATCGCAGATACATTGGACAAATATTTACTTTGCACATTTTTATATTTGTTTAACAATTACTATTAAAAATGAATTTCAAAAGCACGTGCTATATATATTTTATAATTTAAAATAAGACATATTTTTGGATTTAAAATTGTATTGTAACATTTTTTACAATATTTTTAATGCGTAAATGTTAATATTCACACAATTTTAATTTCGCAGTTATATCTTTCGTTAATCTCATCATGTCATAAATAGTATTTAATATTAAAGAAATAATAATAATAAATAATATAAGTAATATGACTCAATAGATTATAAATTTAGTATAACAAAAGAGGGCTACGAGCCAAAAATTATATTTCGTTAGTAATTATTTCATTAGTAATTATAACAAAAGATAAATTGAACATAAATTTTACAAATTATTCAATTTAAATAACAAACAAAAATATAAAAATATATAAGAAAATATAAAATATACAGACATTCCAACCTCGATTGGGTCATTCTCATGTTTCAATACATAAAGGTTCGCTCGGTCTACAGAAATAAAATTATTCAGACATTACTTATATACATTATGATCGCTTATTAAATATATTTAAAGTCTCACTATAGTTATCCATAGAATTGAATTCTTGTAAGAATTTTGAGGATCAAAAATTTCCTTGTAAACGGATAAGGATTGTTTCGATTAAAATAATGAAGCAATTTTATCAAGATATAATAACTCATAGAGATAATGCATAGAATTAATTTTGTTTACAATTAATTTTGAAAAAATACAATTAGTAATGAAATAATATAATTCTTGGCTCGTAGCCCTCTTTTGTTGTACTAAATTTTTAATAATAATAATAATAATAAATTTAATTAATAATAATTAATAATTAATTTCCTTAATATTATTAACAATATTATACTGAAAAGCAATATGTTACTACTCACTTTTATCATTTATTTATTTAATCATTTTTGAAAACTTTATTCTATAGTCTATTGACAGCACGAAATGCATAAAATAACGAAAACTCATTAGAGAATATGTGATACTGTTTATTGAAAATACAGATTTTACATTAAATGTAGAAAGTGTGCACGATATCGTAGTCTTGTTTGCGCGTATGACATTAAATCCCTCCAATATCTCTGAAAAAGAAAAGAAATAGACGAAATCTTGAATCTTCGATCAACATAGCGAATAACGAGCGACCGTGAACTAGTTATCGATCTTGACAAGGTATTGCACAAAGCGAAGCAATTATAGTAACAAGCCGCATTGCATTGCCTTGTCTATCAGTAGATTATTGTACGAAGCGAGTTATTTCTAATATTGTTCACGGCACTTCATAAGGCAAAACAAATCGGCATTGCGATATAAACGGCATTTAGCATAACGAGCTGAACTAAAAAATGAATAGCAATAAATAGCGAATAAGCGGAGGGAAGCAGCAGCAGTTAAAAGTAATGAGAGTTAAATCGAATCCGCAGGACTTTAGTATCCTGTCATCTCGGCGAATGTCAAGTCCATATCGTCGCAAACCGCCTTGTACTTTTCCTTCTCTTCTCTGAGTTCGTCTAAAACAAGCAATTTCTCAATGATATAGAAAAAAAAGAATAGAAACATTATTATTTTAATTTACCAAAAATATTGATTGAATTTACTTGAAAATAAAAGCTTCGAGAGCGTTCTTACCTTCTTTCATATCCACTTCCTTTAGTAAAGTTTTCACTGTCCTTTCAGCATTGATTGCGCGTTTTTCCGCTTCCTTCAATTTCTTTTTCAAGGATTTCAGTTGTACTTTAAAGTCTTCTACCCGTTGATTCGCCTAAAATAAAAATAATGGAGAAGGATGCCGTTGCGACTAATTATTATTACAGCATATTATATTACGTCACCTTTTCCTCGGATACTTCGAGGGACTTCACGATATTCTGTACGATGAAGAGTTCATCCTCACGTTCCACAATTTTTCTACAAAGAATATTTCTATAAAAGGATTTACAT